TGCCAGATTTGAAACGGGAAAACCACTCGTAGACCTGTGATTTCCCCAAAGCATCATCATTAAAGGCTTGCCGAAGCATCCCAACAGTCTCCGCTGCAGTTTTCCCTAACAGAAAGCAAAATTTCACGCACACTCTTTGTTCCTTCTGGTCGGCCATCTCACTAATCGCCAAAGGGTTGAAACAGGAACGCACACAACAGAGCACCACAGACAAACCACTTAACTCAGACTGACGCCAGCTCACTAACAGTCGCGGGAGACACCCAGCTAACACCACCTAGCAGCACAACTTGTAACTATAAAGCATGCACGCGCAACAGGTCGGTTCCGGTTATTTTTGGGTCCCCCTTCGTATAGCCAGTAATACCACTGTCTGACCTTGTCCCTGGTTTTGCTGACACCCAGTTGCCCTACTGAAGATTTGTCTAGGGGCTGTCTGACTACTTCCTTCACCTCAATTTGGTGCAGAACTATTTGGGCTGTCTTTGATTGTTCATCATCGGACTCCCAGTTATGCTCCAGCATGCAATCTCTCACCACCAGGGAGTTTCACTGAGCCCTGTAATTCTTGTAGACTGGGCTGCATTCAGTAATGTACATCCACTAAAAATGCTCTCCAGCCTCTGCTTCCTGTAGAAGTTGTCCCATGTTGTCATTCAGCTGCTTCCTCAAGGTGGCACAATCGAAGCCATCCATGGTGTCAGCAGCATGAACTCATACTTCCAGGCTGCCTGACTGTCATTCTACTTTCTAATAGTGAGGGCATGCCTCTAGGCAGAATCTTCTAGAGAGTGCATCTGTGTTGTGCATCTGCCCCTGATGATGTTTGGATGTAAAACTGTACCCTTACAGAATCTGGACCAAGTGGGCCTACTAGGTTCTAGAAATCTAGAAGTCAAGTCAGGACAGAATGATTGGTATGCAGGTGGAATTCCTGTCCATAGAACTATTTGTGAAAGTCTTCCAGTGTCTTCACAATAGCCAGTAACTCACACTATGCCATGCAGTAATTCCCCTCAGCCCGAGATAGGGTCCTACTTTAGTAAGCTGCTACATGCTTCTCCCCCCCCCCTCCACTTGTGACAGCATGGCTCCATGTTGCTTGCATTCATGTTGTTGATGAACTTTGCACCCAGCTTGCATCTTGCACTGAACTGACAGCATTTTTGGTTTCATGCACGTTCCCATTTTCTCCCTCATGCTCAGCTTACTGAGCAGTATTGATGCTGAATAGTTTTCCTTTGTATCAATCATATTGTATCAGTTTATCATTTTTAACTGATGCCCCACATTTTAAAGAAAAACATTAGGGGTTCACAGGCCAAAAAAATAGGTTGCATATGTGTTCTTCACAGCATGGTAATGTGTGGTATAACTGGTGAGGTTGGTGAACAATTGAAGAGCCACTTTAGCGCAGTTACTGAGATGAGTGAATATGAACTGAGTGACTGGGGTTCAGTTAAGAGCAGTGAAATCATTGAATTTCTTCTTCAGTCCCATATTCAAAGTGGTTCTCAAACATACTCAACCTTCTAACTGTACAAATGTGATGAGGGATTTGTTTCTTTCTTAGTTCATTTAATGACGTTTTCTCAACTGTGTGGGTTATAGTATTCAGTGGTAGGATAGAAATAATGAATGGAGGCAGTAATTGTTCTCTGTTTTAAGTGTTTATACTGAAGGACTGAAGAAAACTGCAACATATCTTAGGGCCTGCAGGCCAAAAATGGAACCTAGGGCCTCTTGAATACAATACAGGAGTGCTTATTGCTCTGTATATGATCATGGTTCCTGGTCCATGACCAGAAAGTACAGTGTAATTTGAATCATAGAGTGGTCACAGATAGTGTATATTGACAACTTATTATGCACATAATTGGTTATTGTTATGAAACAGTTACTGTGAAACCCTGATTTAAGGGGACCCACATTTTATATTTTCCTACATCTGAGGTACATTTTTGAGGTTGCAGCCAAAGCTGTGTATGCCTGATCTATTAGTTTCCTCAATTTAAGTGTTCACTACCATTTTGTACTTGAAATTTTGATTCCTGCATGTTTCAGATATTGTTTTAGTGTGAAGGGAATTTTCTTGTTCCAACTCTTAATGTGTGGCCGTCCTTGTTTATTTCAAGGCCATCATATGCACAGCATGCAATACAGCATGGCTTTCTGTGTCCTCATTTAGAAATGGTTACTGTTTGTTCTTTATTGTGTTGCATTCAAGTGTAATAGTTTTGTTGGAAATGATTTTTAAGTAATGAATTGTTATAGCATTCAAAAGAAATAACTTAACAATAAGTGAGAAAGTGAAAAATATATTGAGGGGTTGGAAAAGAATCCAACTGTGTCATGAAATTATATTGCCAGTTGTTTTGTGCTTTCTCTGTTGTCAATAACATAATGTTAAGTAAATCTCAAATACTTGAAGAGGAAAGTTGGTGTGGTAGTCATTCTGAGAAATGAAAAAAAAAACTTTTTTATCTTATTAAGTGAAGAATGTTCAGTGCCTTATTATTGATTTAACTAAGGGAAGCCATAATACAGTTCATCTTGCAGGCAAGGCAACTCAGATTTAAAGAGGATAAAATCACATATAGAACTTCTGTTCAACCTTTATTGAATTTTAGACTGATTATAGCCTATCTGAAACATCTTTAAGGGTATTAACAGTTGTTTCAGGTTCTACTTTCCAAAAACCCATTTAATGGGGAAAAAGATCCCCCAGACAAACCTTTAATCAGGGTTTTACAATATAAACTTCAGTCATTCCTGTTTTCACATGAAACTCACATCACCTGCAGAATCATATGGAGCAGGTTGATAGGTTCTGCATTCCAAATAAGGAAGTTTCTGTATACCTTGTAAGGAATTTGGATGCTAATTTATAGGCCTATGATTATTCATTTTGGCAGTTAACAGCAAAGCAAACAGAAAAGAGACTGATCATGGTGCAGCGGGAAAAGGAGCAACTGCAAGCAGAACACAGCAAAGCTGTCCTTACTCGCAGTCGTTTGGAAAGCCTGTGCCGAGAGCTGCAGAGACAGAACAAGGCTATCAAGGTAACATTCAGAATTATCATGTTTTCAGTTTACACTATGGCAGGAATTGCAGTTTGGCAGTTATTTTATTTTATACTGGGTTTAATAAACTCGATTTTTATGTAGGTGCATGAAGCCATAGTTGCTGCCATGCCTATAAAGCCACTCTCAGTTTCATTCCTTCTCAGACACATGTGTTCATGCACACATGAGTTTTAGAATGTAATAATTTCTGAGTTGTTTCTTGATTGCAAAGCAGAAGGTAATATCTGCTCTTATGCGAACAGAATCTACATCTAGTGCTAAGGATTTCAAAATATTTAGGTTGTCTTCACGTGTCACATTAACCGTTAATGTCCGAAATGCACCAATCGGTACAGTAATGAATATGGTCGTCGTAGCCAAAGTACCTCAATTTGTGCAGTTGGACAGTTAACCTTTATCAGACGGGCCATTTAATTTCTGGTAGGGGCAGCTGGACGGAGTTTATTTAACACTCATTCCAAAAAAAAAATCCCGAAATTCATACATTTTCTGCACCTCAACCTGCACTATTTGTACGGAAACAGCACCGTAGTGACACTTCACACAGTTGTGGATATAGGCTTCCTTACTGTTCTGAGACGCCCACTTAATATCCACCACAGGGCGTGTTTACG